CTGAGAGACTAAAGATTTAATTTTCTTAACTAACTCTATGTCTTGGGAATTGAAATATTTTTTACCATATTTTCCTAATTTTGAATATAAAGGTTCTACTAATTGTCCTAATTTGGGAATAAAATTACGACCATAGTTTAATAATTCTAAAAATGCTTATAACATCTTGGTTTCTTCTAATTTATCAGGAAAGTCTAAAATCTTTTTAACAATATGAGATTGTAATTCTACTTTTCCATCTTTTATATATAAACTTAAGAATTCAATATCTTTTTTTTCTAATATCATCTTTTTAACAATAAGTTCAAGATGTTTTCTATGCTCTTCTTTAGTTTGACTAAAGACTAAGATATCGTCGATGTAAACACAACAGAATTTTGAGTGTTTATTAAATATAGTATCCATTTTATGCTGAAATTCTTGTGGCGCATTTTTTAATCCAAAGGGCATAACAAATCACTCATAATGTCCTTCAGGGCATGTGAACGCTGTCCATTCAATGGATTCGTCAGCTATACGGATTTGCCAAAATCCTGATTTACAGTCAAATTTAGAAAACCATTTTCTATCTTGAATTCGATTTATTAAAACATCTTTATTAGAGATTTTATAACTATCATCATAAGTATTATCATTTAACCGTTTATAATTTATTACCATACGAGCCTTTCCTCTTTTTATTTCGGCATGATTTCGAACCATAAAAGCTGGACTCCTATGTCTACTATTACTTTTTCTTATTACTTTTAGTAATAGCAGTTCCTTAATTTATTTTTGGAATTCGTCTTGATCGTCTAAGGTATGAGGATTATCTTGTGTCTTTATAGTTATAAAATGATTTATTATATTTAATTTTGCTTCAATTTTATTTTTATACCAGTGTTTCTAGGGGTCTTCACTTAAAATTTCTGTGGTTTCAGCTAATCGTATAAGATTATCAATGTTTAGTTTGAAGTTTTTTAATATAACTTTATTATTAAGGAAAATCTTTGGTTCATCTAGATGACTAAGAAACATCAAGGCTTCAGAAACGTTTTCTAAAAATTCTGATACATCAAATAAATTTTTTGTTGTTTCTTCTGTCATAGGTAAAGTATTAGCATATGTAATGGCTCCTTTATCTTTTTGAGGAATATAAGGATCTCTAGATGGAATAAAGGTTCCTTTCTTAAAAAACTGTAAATCTGTAGGGGTATACATAAATCCTCCGGTAAGTGAGTTTATAAAATTTAATCCTAAGATAAAATCATATGTACTAGGAATATTATTAACTACATAAGTCTGGGGTAAAACAAACTTTTCATTATTAATTAATATAGGAATGTTTTGAACACAATGGGTTATTGGAAGTTTTTCATTATTATACTGGCTCATGTTAACATTATAATTTAACTTTACTAAGGCTTCGTTTGGGACTAAATGTTTTTGAATTATACTTTTAGATGCTCCAGTATCAAGCATAGCTGAGGTTTGAACTAATTTTTCTCTAAATTCTAATATTACTGGAAATTGCATTAGACTAGATGGTTTATATATTGAATTTATAGATGCAACTAAAATATCTTCTTGCTTATCTTCATATTTTGTATAACAATTATGACATAATAAAGTTTTGCAATGGTTTTCATAGTAATGACCTTTTTTAATAGATGTATTGCACTGTTTACAATTGTAAGAAGAAAATTAAGAACTAACTAAGTTATACTGACATGATGGATTACTTATAGTGTGAACGAACTCTTCTATTGAATGAAGCCCTTGTTCAAAGTTTTCATCATTATCAAAGTCGTTTTCTAAGCTCTCGATACTATATATACTTTCATTATCATCGTCAGAGTCATAAATACTTTCTAGTTCATATAATTCCTCTATATGTTCTTCAATATCTTCAAGTATGTTGATCTTTTCTTGTATCCTTTTAATAGGATTCTGTTTGTATCGATGAGGACAATTTGGTCTAATGATCTCCACAAATAAAGCATTTGCAATGTCTTTCTTTTGTGGGTAAAGTGTTTACCTTATTATCCTTATCTTTGTTGTCTTTATTTATCTTTTGCTTTTTATACCAAGGCCGCTTCCTAAATTGCCTAGGGTTAGTTCTGACATATGGTTTTTTATTACGCAAGTTCTTGTAGTCTTGCTTTTACGCAGATTATATTTTTTAGGTTTATTATGCTTATAATTGTAATTTTTCTGAGGCATACAGCCATACTGGGGTGGAAAATCTATTTGTCTACACGTATAATAAAATTGTTTTTTGATTTGTTTAGACTCTTTACGTTGTCAACACTCTGCTTTTAACATGTTATACATATGATTAACTCTATCTCCTAAGGTTAGCGTATCGCGTCTAGGATTTTCTAACCATTTTTCCCATATTTTAGTTCCTACACTTCCGGGTAACTTCTAAAGATATCGATCAAGTAATGTTTTATCACCTGTTTTACCAGTGGCTGCAAAATACTAAAAAAACTTATTGGTGTAGTTTTTTATGTATCTAAAATCACAAATCTGTAGTAATTCTAAATTACGTAAAGCTTCGTTTTGTTTTATTAAGGTGTCATCTAATAATCTATCTTCACCAATTAATACTTTTTTAATGAGGCTGGTAAAGCCTTGAATGGTAAAATTATCACGTAGGATGGCATAATCATTGAGATAAATTACTTTATAAGCCTGCCACCAGTCACAAATGGTTCCTCTTAATAGGGTTTCACAATAGGTTAAGGCTTGAGTTCTATTGTCAAAATTGGTCAAAATAGATTGCCGAATACAATCTTGTTCCCAATTTTCGATTACATTTGCCCAGTCCTAGGGATCGTGCCTTGCTATGTCTAATATTGTTCCTAATGGTTGCGCTGGTATATTATCATATTGTCTATGATATTGTGTTAGGTATATTTCTATTTTCTACATAAGTTTCTCGTGAGGGGTTTAACCTTTGTCCAGTAGTAAAGTCATCACTTAAGGTATTACTACCTGAGGTGTTAGTCTTTGTTTGGTCTCCCATTTCTTGGTCAATTGACTGAGAGCCTGATTCTTCTGGTACTTTCCCTTCTCTATGCTCTATTACATTTAACTCTTTTTTTACTGTGTTTAATTCTAATGCTGTATAGAAAGATTCAAATCCAACACTTAGAATATTTTTCTTAATATCATCATTATTTCCTTGTCCTAAATAAATACTTTCGATAAGTTGGTATTTAGGTTCTGGATACTTGTCTTGCAACTCTTCTAATTCTAAATTATCAAAATCGTATATTATTTTATCTAGAATTTCATCTTCTAATCTATCATAAAGGATATTTATTTCTTCAGGAGATTCTATCTCTATTAGTGTAGTTAAAAAGTCTTCTTGAGTATCATCAACAAAATTGTCTTGTCTTTTATAATTACTAAACCTTTTGCTAGCATCTCCACTATTTGAAATATATATCATATTATTTTCGAGAATCTTTTTAGGTGTACTAGTAAGTTTAGGTAATTTCCATTCTATTCATTCATGGGTAATACTGCTTATTTTTCTGGCTTCTATCATCTTGACATATTTACTACTAAAAGGTTTAACCATTTCACTAAATTAGGTTTTAAATTTTAAGTTATACTGATTAACTACCTTTCCCATAAATAAAGTATTAACTAATAGATTTTCAAATTGTCCTATCATATTATATCCTTTTGTAAATATAGCTATCTTAATATGTTGACTAAATTCTCTAGTAGTCATCGTATAATTGGGAATACATCCTACTATTGCGGCATTGTCAGCTAAGTCTATCTCGGCGCTGGCTATTTGTGCTTGTTGATGGTTATTCCATCGATCATCATAAATATAAGTAAGTGCTCTAGTTCCGATTTCTGCTATATTTAATCCCACTAATCCTATCATTATGACGCCTAAATGCATATGTTCTAAATTATTATCATTTAATTCTTGGCATGCTTCAGGTGTTACAATGTCTAAAATAACTTGATTATTAACTGCACTTATTTTTCATTGGCTAAAATGGTTATATATCCTGCTCTGAAAATTTAATAAATTATTAGAATAAAGATTAATTTTATTTTTTACCTTCTTCATTCCTTATTCTATATATTTTTTAGCATCATGTTCATTATTATATAAATCTTCTACTCTCATTATTTCTTTGGTTTTTCTAAGGATAATGGCCATTATGGTATTTGCTTATAAGGTTGAGATTGTAGTAAATTTACACGCTTGGCTGTTGTAGGAGAGGACTAGTTATTGGTTGACAATTTTATTTCTTTTATATTTTCTGATAATTCAGATAATTCTTTAGAAGATTACCTGGAAATACTTTCTTGTATCACTTCTAATTTCTCTTCAAGTTTATTAACTTTATCAAATAACTGGAGTAATAACTGAATTAAAAAGTTATTTTATCTAATATGTATATTAGTTGACTGTACGTCTGTTTTAAAGCTAGTAAATCCTATAGGTTCTTTTTCAATTTTGTAAAGTTCGCTAATGCGGTTAAATAATCAAAACTACTGGTGCTCATAAAACTATTGTAATAATTTTTGGATATCGGTTTTAAGGGATTTTAAAGAGTCTATGATTATTTTCTGGTTTTCAGCAATATTCTTAATATCACTATTGATATCCTTAATTGCGATTAATATTATCTTGTTATCTAAATTGTTTGGACTAGAATTCTGTAATACTTGTTCTTTAATATAATCTAGATTTTCTCCTAATCGTTTTATAGAAGTATCTAAATTATTAAAATTAATTCTATTCATAAACTAAAATCTTTGCCGTCTGGCTTCTAAAATATTTTGTATTAATATAATTCTAGGTATAAGTTCTTCAATTCTTCTTTGTAGAGTATGTGTTGTGTCTCCTAATTCTAGCGCTATGTAGCAGTTCTTAAGTGCTATTTGACAATATTGTAATACTTGAATAAGTTGTTATTTGGGTAATTGTGCATAAAATAAACTCCTAGAGGTGAAAATATAAATTCAGCTTAATAAAAGATTAAAAATAGAACTTGGTTCATGTATTTGTAAATATGTAAACTACGCTTAGCTATGGATAATATACTTACTAACACCACTTTACTGTAAAAGTTCCAAAAAAACAATTTACAACAATTTTTGGCAAATTATTTTGATAAATTTAACTTTAACCTTGCTTAAATCTTTGACAAATACAAAAAAAAAAAAATAAAAGCAAAAATTCAAATGTTATTTTGTTCGTAATTCTTACGGAGTATTTTGTTTCCTTCTCTAACCCCGCCTTCTTCACTTTCTGCATAGCTATCGCCTCTCTGCAACAAAATTCGGTGAATGGAATCTACTCTCACACAGTTCTATGTGCGATACGCCATGAATTCATTGAATTCGAGTCTCCTTCTCCTTCAAATCACTGCAATCTGTAGTTTTCTCTCTCTAGGATCCACCTCTTCATCGACCATGCTGAGAGTAGAGAGAGAGAGCTGCATCGCATATATGGGTTTTTCTGCAGAGAATCGTTGGAGGTATAATTACACTGTAACGTGATATCTATACCATTTTTTGTTAGTCCCACATGCTCAGATTGTGTACATGTGAATTGTATTTATACGAATTCTTTCGAAGCATTGATTAGTTCTGATTTGTGGTTAATGTGTATGATATAGGTTTATTAATGGGCCTAGGATTTCTTTTGAAGCCAGGATTAGTTTTTGATTTTGGATTAATGAGAATATTAATGTGTGTGTGTGTGTGTTGTATAATACAGTATATGATAGGTTTTTATTTTTTATTTTTTATTTATGAGATTAGAAGTCTTTTGAAGCAATGAATATTATTGGCAGTTAATATGGTTACTAATGATGGGTATTTCTTGAATTTCAATCTATTTAATTTAATTGCTTGATTATTTTTTATATGGGTATACGCGTGGAAATTTCCAGGTAAGATGATGCTTGACTTTCAAGCTTCCTTGCGGTGAGGGTTTCTGTTGATTCAATGAAAGCGGTGATATGACTTTGAAGCTTATAAATAGGGTTTGTGTTTTTTTTTTTTTTTTGAATTGGAGGCTGGCTTTGTTTTTAGGGTTTTTGGTGATTTTGATGGTTCTGAATAGGGTTTTGATAGGTTTGAAGTTTCAAGGGTGTTTTATTCTGATTAAGGGTTGATTTTTGACAAGTCAATCAAGGTTTGAGATAGTCTGGGCTGCTTGTAGGTTTGAACCTTCAAAGCTTCTCTAAAGTCAATTTTGGTAGAAATTGTTTTCTTATAGTTTTATTGTGTCTGCTTCTGAGTTGAACAACACTGAATACTGCTAGGGTGGTTTGTAGTAACCAAGTCCATTAGGGCTTAGCAATGGACCAAACCGCTCAGAATGAACAAAAGAGATCCTCAACTCCACATCCTGAAAGTAAAGAACCTGAGAAGGGAATTATGGGCAAGTTATTCCACAAAGATCCCCAAGAAAACCGGGCACATATGCTAGGGAAATTTTCTTTCATGAAGCTTCTCAACACGAAGAGCCGGAAGGAATCATCATGGAGAAAATATTTTGACCAGGGAGGACGAAGAGTTAGCTCTGTGGAAACAACAGATGAGTGGATGGTTGATCTCTCTGATCTATTTATTGGGTTTAAATTTGCCCAGGGGGCATATAGTCAGCTATATCATGGAATATACAAGGACGAACCTGTTGCGGTGAAGATTATAAGGGTGCCAGATGATGAAGAGAATGGAGCACTGGCAGCGCGGTTAGAGAAGCAATTCAATAGAGAAGTCACTCTTTTGTCTCGTCTCCATCATCAAAATGTCATAAAGGTTTGAGTTCGTTCTTTGTTTTTTTTTTCCCCTTCACCATATGCTATTTGGTTATTAATGATGAATCAATTAAATTTTCTTTTAAGTTATGGAAATTCTAAGTTCTGAATTTGCTCTGTTCAATGTGTAAATTGCTTATTCCTTGTTCCTTTTTAGAATTAGTATCCATTCATGTGGTTTACGAGTTGATAAATACAGTTTGAGCATTGATGTCTTTGTTAGAACCCTTCTGACTTTTTATCTGTTAATACAGTTTGTAGCAGCATGCAGAAAGACACCAGTTTTTTGCATTGTCACCGAGTATCTCTCTGAGGGTTCATTGAGAGCGTACCTGCACAAGCTTGAGGTTAAGAATAAATCCATTCCATTACCGGAAATAATCAGGATTGCTCTAGAAATTGCTCGGGGAATGGAATACATTCACTCGCAAGGCATCATCCATAGGGACCTCAAGCCTGAGAATATTATTATTAATGAAGAATTTCAACTGAAAATTGTTGATTTCGGAATATCTTGTGAGGAGGCCTATTGTGACCGTTTGGTAGATGACCCGGGTTCTTATCGTTGGATGGCACCTGAGATGATCAAACGTGGTAAGTCCTATGGGCCGAAGGTTGATGTATACAGCTTCGGACTGATTTTACAGGAAATGGTTGCTGGAACTATTCCATATGGGGACATGACTCCCATCCAAGCTGCGTTTGCTGTGGCAAATAAGGTACTTTCATGAATTCATTTTTATTGTTTTTGTTTTAATTTTTTTATTTTTTTTTATTAAAGTCCATTCTGCATATCTGCATTTTCCATTGTAATTTATTTATTTGTATTGTACATGATTAATTGCTGTGTTTGGAGGTTAATGCTATTCCAAACCTATATGAACGCACCACATTAGGTCAAAAGCAAAAATTAAATGTGCTCAACTTGTTCATGACAGAGTTACCAAAAAACAGACGACCATAGAAATGTAAAAGTGCTCTCCAGAGCTTGATGATGAGTTTGGCATGTTGTGCCTCTAAATTTTCTGTGAACTGTGCGGTTCTTGGCTCATTTCATCAGCCAAATCTTGTTGTCTATCGTATATATTCCCTCGAAAGCCGGTGTTGTCAAATTGTAGAATTGTTCATTCTATTCCAGTGTGTTTCTTAACACAGATCCAGTTCTTATTCAGTAGGCAACATGATTTCTTGAATCACCCTCTATTTATTCTCTACTTATTGTAGTTTTGGTGGAAATATTATAGGATGAAGCTCCATAGTTTTCAAATTGCTAACTTTTTTATTTGGTTCTGCAGTTAGAACTTAGGATATGCAGCATATTCTTCTTATGTTTTTTTTATTTTTATTTTGGCCTTATTATTTTAATTATAGGACTCCAAAGATGTACCTTAATATTTGTAATTCTAACATCAACATGATTTGGGATTTTCTTTCAGAATTTGAGACCAGCTATCCCTGGGGATTGCCCTCCTGCTATGGGAGCTTTAATCGAGCAATGTTGGTGTTCGCAACCAGAAAAGAGACCCGGGTTTTGGCAGATCGTGAAGGTTTTAGAGAACTTCCAGTCTTCGCTCGCCCTTGATGGAACTCTAAACTTGGTACTGGATTCAACATGTCATGATCATAAAAAGGGGCTTCTTCATTGGATTCAAAAGCTTGGTCCCCACTCCCCATACATCGTAATAAATCTGTACAGATGATATGTACTTCACTATGATTCTTTCTGGTGATCTGGGTTTTTGTAGTTTCACCAGGTTACAATGTAATTGAAAGGGTTCCATTTTATTTAGAACTCTTTTATACAGTAGTATTCTATGCTTCACTTTACTGTGAGCATGAATGAATATGTGTTAGGCCTGCATTGAGGTGAAAATCTGGTTCATTTGCATTTTATACACGACTCGTTTATACTTATGTTGGCATTAGTAATGAAGATAAAATAAAAAAAAATCTTGTGTTCTTCTCCTCTATATCCCTTTTTATGATAAAAAGTCTGAAAGTCGAACATATCCAACTACATTTGTAAAAGTGCGAAAGATGCACCACTCACGTGAAAACCACTTTGATTTTATATAATATAAGAATGGAAATAGTCTTCTTTTTTACCAACAGACCTATAACCTAGCAGTACAAGGCTCCTACTTCTCAAAGGGAGGTCAGGGACTTGAACCTTAGTGGAGGCAGTGTGTGTAAGTCCCAACTTAAAAAAAAAAAAGACCTCCTTTTCGTTGTTGCTTTTCTGGTAAGCATTTTTGGGATGTATTCAACTGTTGGATTACTTGTCATTTTCTTCTAAAGTAGTAGTTGGTTAACCCACCGAATTATTCAATAATTCAACAATTAACTCAAATGAGTTGGTTTCACAAATCTATCGCAGTTATCGTGGATGGAAATAATGGAATATTTACTTTTTTATGCAGCAGCATCCAGATTTCATATTTAATTTGGCAAGACGAGAGATGGCAACCGTGTGGCTTATGGCTCATCTTGTTAGTTAGTATGGACTCCAACAGGCTCAGTAGCTAGAGAGAGCATGGAATAACAAATAGAAATCATTATGAATAGATAATACTAGTAGAATTGTATCATCCTCGTCAGGAAAATTTTGTATCGGGTGATTATTATTTAAAATTATAACTTGTGCTTCAGGGAAGGATGTAAAGAATAGGATCCCAAACAAAATGATAGTATAGAGGGTGATGATGAAATGAAATAATTTCAAAACATGATTAAATCATTCCAATAAAAAATTTTATTTGATAATGTTAAGAAAATTAACCACTCAAACATGATTTAATTAATTTTACTTTGTATTGCGAAGAAGAAGATTGCAATAACGACTGATTTTTTTTTTGTTCTTTTTCCAGACTCCACCACCTTATATTTTGAATTGGCCACCGTCCTCTATGGTTGAACGGATAGGAAGAATTTTTTTTACTTCTTTTTTTATGCTTTGGGAATTTCCTCCTATGGATGCGAATGATTTATTTGTTATAATTTGAGAATTTTTCAATTATCCGGGTATAGTTGAATGCAAGGATAAGTTTTCTTTTTTTTGTTTTTTTTTTTTTTAACCTTTTTTCTTGGGAACGAGGCTGGTAGTACAGAGAAAAAAGGTAGCCAAATTGAATTGGTTTTAGTTTAGTTTCCATTAAAAAAAACATATCTAGTTATTTCATTTTTTGTTAATGGTATATAGTAGTATTAAAAAAAAGGTAAGCTCCTTAAAATACGTAAATAAAGAATTAATTAATTAATTACCGTAGGATTAGATTTTAGGTTTCTTCCGCTCGCATATACGAGCAGTTAAATAAAGTAAATATCTAGTACTTGCTTGTAATGGTGTTATCCCTGTGGTTCTTTCTTACCTGCGTGTGTGGTAGTTGCAGATCATCCTGCTTCTGCTCTAAGATCTAGTGCAAATCCCGAGAAAAGAGAGGGTCGAAGCCAAGGAGGCCGAACCAAGGAAAGGATTTCTTCTGTTTTGCAATTCTGATATTGGAGTATGGCTTCTGAACTCAACGTCTCTTTTGAACAACCAGGAAAGGCCGTCGTCAGTGAAATGGTTGAAGAAAGCGGCGAAGTTGTCTCTTCTCCAACGACATCTCTCTCTATATATATATTTATATGTATATGTATATATATGTGACTAATTAATTTGGTGCGTTTTATAAGGACTTGATGACCCGAACAAACCCCCCAACAAGTTGGACAGATGTATTCAAAGCCCCAGTAGGTGTCTCTTCTCCAACGCCCTAGATATATTTTGACACAGTGAGTGTATATATATAATACTGGGCTAGTTAATTTGGTGTATTTTGTAGGTATCTTTTCCAACTCGTGACCCATTATCCTACGGTTTTGGTGCTCCACTAGAACTCAAGAACAATCCCCGATAATAGAAGGAAGGTCTCTTGGTACACACATAAAGCAATTCATCATTACAATCACAATAATGTAGGTAATTTTTTACTTATTTATTCTTTTATTGATTGGTATGTTAAATTCACATTACACTTGAAAAAATTCCTTGTTAGGGGACAAATTACTAGTGTGTGAAGCTTAAGGGGGCAAACCACGTGGACGTGGACGTGGCCGGTATATTCTTGTACATTACTTTTGAGGCCAAGGATGAGGATTGTGATGATTAGGGATGACAATGGGGCGGGGTGGGGCAGAGATCCCCATCCCGGTCAAATTTTTTATCCCCATTCCCACTCCCATACCCGTTTAATTTTCAATCCCCTCCCCCATCCCCGCCCCGCCACATTAGCCCCCGTCCCCGCCCCGCATAACATTTTTTAAATTTCAATTCACCTTCAACAAAATCAACAGAGTCATAATATTTTTTAACTTAATAATTTAATAAAGTTTCACTATAATTATAACAATTTAAAACATAATTAGATGTTATATTATATATATAGTTATGTAATTTAGTAATATTTTGTAACATGTAAGGGCAATTTTGTAAAAATGCATTATAAACGGGACGGGATTACTCGCCCTCGCCCTCGCCCCCGCCCCATCTCCCGCCAAGGTTTCAAATACAAGCCCTATTCCCTCCCCATTTACATAAATGGGTCACCAAATCCGTTATAAACACGGCGGGGTGAGGCGGGGACCCGCCGAGTATGGGGATTTTGCCATCCCTATTCACCATCAAGTGCATAACATAGTAGTATTTCCTTTATCTTTCATAAAAGATCAAGAATTTAAGTTCTAGTTGGACAATAGTAGGTGTATACTTGGCCAGGTACAAATTTATCTCAATGATGTTTATCCTTACATATAGAAATAAACTAGAAAGCACAAAATCAAATTTGATAATTGTTCCAAGTTTTCCTAAATTTATTGGAAAGTTGGATCAGCCCAAGTTTGTCGATGAAGAACGGATTTAATTGATTAATTGCAATTGTGTTAGTGTCAATACTAATTGACGGGCCTCATTGGTAAGTGCCACAAGATTTAGGGCATTGGAAGTCATGGTTATGAACCCCAATCCATGTCATTGTTGTGGAATAAGAAACTTTCATAGTATATAATTTATTCGGAGCTATTAGAACGGGATCCACCCACTCTTTTGAGAATATGAGTTGAAACAATAATTGAGGTTATGAGTCGAAACAATAACAAGAATATTTAGTTACTAGTTTTATAACCATTCAATTCTATCCATAATCAATGTTGTTTGACAATTGTACATGTATGTAATTTACACCTCCCCCAACATCATATGTTTTTTTCCTTTCCAGCAAACTTTTTCCATAGCATACACAAAATCCCTCCAACAGGAAAGATACTTGTTTCCTAGCATTTCAAACCTTTTTGGAATGTAACTTTTTCAAAACCAGCTTTCAGATAATTAGATTAGAAAACAGCTTTCAATTTTTTCAAGTTGAAAATATGCTTGATTGGAAAAACTACAAAATGAAGAACAAAAATTTATAAATCTACTTGACTGTATCTACTGAAAATAATTTTCGAAACTAAAAGAGGTACATAATCAAAACACACACCAACTTTAACCATCTTCTATGTTGGGGATTCTTCCCTTCATAAGTCAACATGAATTCAGCTTGATACTGTTTGAGGCCTGTTGAGGCTGAAATTCGCGCAGTCCGATATGATACCGTTTTTCTGCAAAGAAGAGAGGAGAAGATCGGTGAACCTTGACGGCACCGGTGTGGTGCCTGCTAAGAGCTCTCCGACGATCAAATTAGTCACGGAGGTCTAAAAAGAAGGCAGGGATTAATCATAATTTTTACGTCGTACCTTCTTTAATGGCTTGATGCCCTATTTATGGCTGTCGGTTGGAATCAAAATCGTTCCGCTGATATCGATGGTTGACCTTATCTTCCGCTTGTGCAAAATCATAGGAGATTTATTACCAGATTTGTCAGGATATGATTTAATCCTTTTGACCTCATCTAGTTATAGTAGGATTATTCTTACTTATTGAACCACGTCAGATTTGATTTCATTATCCTTGATAATGAAATCTAATCAATCTTATCGAGGGTAGGATAGGTTTATATTTTTCCCTATCAGTTGCCCCCCATTCCCAAGCTTGCACGTCTAGCTTTGGGAATGTAATAAATAATAATAATACTTTTTTTTTTTTTTTTTTTTTCAACCCCGGTGAACAGTACCCGCGGGTACTATTCCCGAGGGTACTATTCACATAAATAGTAACTTAGGGAATTTTTTTTTTTTTTTTTTTTTTTTTTACCCGAGGGAACAGACCCTCGGGTACTGTTCATGAATAGTAATAATAATATTTTTTTTTATTTTTTATTTTCACTTCACCCGAGGGAACAGTACCCCGCAGGTATTGTTCATAAATAGTAATAATATATATATATTTTACCCGAGGGAACAGACCCTCGGGTACTGTGCATGAACAGTACCCCGCGGGTACTGTTCATGAATAGTAATAATAAATTTTTTTTTTTTTTTTTTACCCGAGGGAACAGTACTTTTCCTTTTATAAGGGAATAAATTATACGAGTTTCGTCCCTTTACTAAGGGAATTGAACTTTACGAGTTTTACCCAGCTCACCTCTTTAATAAAGGATTTTTATTTAATATCCCTTATTGTAAGGGGATATTAATTATGGGATTCATCCAACCCAGGTCATTGTAGTCCAGGACATTCATTTATTATCCTTATATTACAGGAATATGGATTACGGGATTCATTTAACCCGGGTTCTGATAATACAAGATACTTATCCCTTATAGTCCAGGGATATGGATGACGGGATTTATTCAACCCGGGTCCTTATAATACAGGACACTCATTTACTATTCCCTTTTAGT